ACTGATCAAAATGCAAAGCCATTCAAAAGCATTACCCCACTCTTAGAACTTCTGGTCACTGTGTCCCGTTCCCCGTCAACAAATACACACAATAAAAACATACAGCGATGGGCGGAAACGCAGCAGCCCGGAGCGCAGGCTCCCAGCCCCCTCCCAGCTGTGCGACTCTGAACGACCAGCTTGCCTTTGCTGCCAGCGTTTCCTCATCTGGAAAGAGCGTGTCATGCCCCCCCTCCCCCCAGGCATCAACCTGTACAATGTCTGTACAGGGCTTGGCTCGGTAACCACTCAGTTGTTTTGCATTTTGAGACGGGGAGAGTCGGTGTCATTTTCACCATTTAAAAATGGGTCTTCTCGTTCATTGGGCTGGCAGGGACTTTATCATGTTTACAACGCCATCGGGTGCCCACCCCTGCTCAATACTACCTTCCCTTCTTTTCCTTTGCTACCCTCCAGTAAAACCTACCTATACCTAAAAAGGTGGGGACAGGGAGGTCTTCATCTGTGAAAAATCTGGAAATGTTTTAGTCCAACTCATTTACAAAAAAGAAAGCAGGTCCAGAAAAAAGGTCCCAGTTTGCACAACCACAAAGTGACTTACCAAGAACAGAACCCAGGCTCTGGTGTCCTGGGTCAGGTCTACTCCCCCTACCAAAAACTCCTCCCCCCCCACTCATCCCCCACCCAACTTTCCACATGTTCTACAGTAAATCAGGAATATCATCAAAATGTCCCCCTTTTCCCCCTCTAACTGTCAAGGCAACTGACGAACCCTCTCAACAGGGGTTGCAATACACTGGAAATCGGAATAATCGTGCATGGGGAAGTAGGCAGGTATCATTAGATTACAAGGTCAGAGATCAAGCTGCTTGGCCAACAGGACCTCCTTACCTCCAAGAGCAGTGCTAGGATCCATGAGTTATGGGACTAGGTTTCCATATGGCACCGAGACTTGATGGAAAAGAAACCAATATGGAATCTCATTCAGCTCCATCCCAGGCCTGAGAACAGAAACCCCCTGAGGCAGGACCAGGACTGAGTGGATGAGACCAGGAGACCTTCTGCAGGTGTCATCACTTGACCGGCCGGTCTTCTCTGGCCCCTGGTCCACATCTCCCTGGGGGAGCGGTGTCAACCCATTCCGGGAAGGGCCCTACAACCCCCTTCCCATGAGGCCCACACTGCTCCTTTTTGGCCTCTGGGGGTGGGAAAGTGACTATCAGCAGATGGCATCGCCATATCTCCCTATCTCACTGTGAGTCTCCAGGCCTTCAATCCATTGCCCTTTGGATGGACAAACACCTTGCCAATCCTCCCTTAATGTTATTCCAAATTTCAAAACAAAATACCATGACTCGATTCAAGACAAGCACAATTTTTCCATCTGCTTTTTTACATGCTAATGGGCCTGTGATCTGTCTAAAGTGGTTCTCAACCTGTGGGTCGCGAACAATGAAAATACATCCTGCACATCAGATATTTACATTATGATTCATAACAGTAGCAAAATTACAGTTATGAAGTAGCAACGAAAATAATTTTATGGTTGGGGGTCACCACAACATGAGGAACTGTATTAAAGGGTCGCGGCATTAGGAAGGTTGAGAACCACTGGAACCAACCTACCCCCATTAGACTGAGGTTTGCTCCAGGTTGAGAAACACTCTACCAGCCATATGTGATCCTCAAAGGTGTACAGTTACCAAAACTGAGTCACCCCAATAGTGGGAGGGCAGGAGGAAATTACCTAATTAACCATATAAGTACAAATCCCATAGCAAATACGCTGTGAGATCTCTTCAGACACCATTGTTTCATTATGTTAGGAAGAAAAGCATACCTGGGCAGGAGTCTCCTAAACTCCTTGGAACCCCCTGGATTTTATTTTAGCTCAGCTTATGACAACCACCACCATCACTTCCCAGTCCTGGCAGAGCATGGACCTCACCCTTTTCGTTTTCTCGCTCCCCAAGCTGAATGCTAACATCTCTGAGGGAGACAAGTCTGCCCCAATCTCCAAGAAGACAATCCCCTTGTAAAGCCTCCCGGATCTGCAGAAATTTCCACCTCTACAAGCTGGACTCTAGCCCTAGGTCAGATTAAAAGGAGCTATGACCTTCACCGCTCTCGTCCCAGTTCCCCAGTATGAAAATGAGGAGGTTGACTAAAACCATGCCTCTGGCCCCTTTCAGCCAGAAGGCTCTACCGTGGCATGCTACACGCACCACATCGCCTGCTGGCTTCATGTTTCTTGGCTGCTAGCCAGAAAGGCCAGGGACCTCCAGAAGCCAGCAGAGGAAAGATGGGTGAGCAATCATGGCTTTGCAACCTTCCTAGATAAAGATCACTCGAGAGCACTGCAGCCTCCACCCAGGGCCGCCCAGAGCTCGGCTTGGCTGTCCGTGGCCGTCACTGAAGGCGCAGGAAGCCCTGGTCTTGGCGGTGGTCAACAATGCAAATGATCTTTCGGACCCTGGCATGACCCCAGGGCCTGACACACTGGCCCTCTCCAGAGAGCCGCCTCCTTTAGTGTCTTAGACACCAAGACCACTCCATGTCCCTCTTCTGGCTTCAGGTGAAAACCAATGCAGGATCTCCGTGGGAGTGACTGAGAGCAGTCTCTTCCTGGTGCCATGGCAGGGACCCCTCATCACTGGGCTGCCACAGCCAAGAGGGTCACCATCCTCCTCCCCATGGCATTCTTTCCTCCACTGCACAGGACCCTTTTATCTGTACTCCTCTCACTGGGGGCATTGTGAGCTCTGGAGTACGGCCGGGTCCTCATCTAGGCTGCCCCCCTCACTGGTCTGCTTCCTCACCTGTAAAAGAAGGCTCTAAATCAGCGGTTCTCAACCTGTGGGTCGCGACCCCTTTGGAGGTCGAACGGACCCGACCCTTTCACAGGAGTCGCCTAAGACCATCGGAAAACACATAATATAATTACATATTGTTTTTGTGATTAATCACTATGCTTTAATTATGTTCAATTTATAACAATGAAATTGGGGGTCACAACATGAGGAACTGTATTAAAGGGTCGCGGCATCAGGAAGGTTGAGAACCACTGCTTTAAATGAAGGTCTACCTCCCAGGACTGCTTAGGCCCATGCTGGGCACCAAGTTTTCAATAATGTTAACCATCATTATTTCTTTTTGAATATAATTTATTAAAAGGAAAAAAAAAGAACTTTAAGGCCCCCCAAAAAATTACAGCCAAACTTTGCAATGAGAGGAATTCATTTCCATCCCAGCCACAAGTCACACTTCTCAAGCTCCTCCCGTGACCTGCCCAAGTCCCAGGGTCCCATTTATACCCTCACAGCAGCCCAGGTTCCTCATGAGAGAGAGTGTTTGCGACCTTCCGAGATTCTTTCTGGTCTGCACGACCCACCCCATCTCTGCTCACCCTTGGGGAAGAGGAGGAGAGAAATGGGCGACACCGATTTGTGAAAAACCAGGCTGAAACCCCAGTAGGTAGATTCCGCTTTCAGTGACCTGCAGATGAGGCTTTTATTTTCTAGAAGCTCCCCGGTGACTGCGTCATGCAGCCAGGGTCAGCACCCTGGGCTACAGGAACGTAACTGATGGGTGTCCATCCAATTACAGCAATGGGGGGGGGGGGGGGGGGGGACGACTTACACGACTGCTTTATTTTTACAGGCAATCTTTATATCGTCTCTGGCAAACAAAAGTCCCATTCTGCTGTCTTGCCCAACACAACCGGCACACACGGAATCCAAGGTTTTAAAAGTCTGGCGGGTCTTCAAAAAGTTAAACATAGAGTTATCACATGACTCAGCAATCCCACTCACGGGTATATACCTGGAGAAATACAACCGCAGGCCCGTACAAACACTGAGGACCGGATAAACAAAATGTGGCCCATCCATACATGGAATAATATTCAGCCATCTAAAAGGAATGAGGAACTGATACATGCTAAAATGAGGAGGAACCTGGAAAGCATTATGCATAGTGAACGCAGCCAGGCACAAGAGGCCATGAATTTGACCATTCCATTTGTATGAAATGTCAAGAATAGGCCTACCTATGAGTGATTGCCAGGGGCTGCGGGGGAAGGGAGAAATGAGGACTGACGGATTCCCTTTTGGGAGTGATGACAATGTAGGAGAATTAGATAAGTAGGAGAAGAAGACAAGAATTAGAGGTGCCGAGAAGTACACACCTCCTGAATACACTAAAAATAACGAAATTATACACTTTAAATATGAGAATTGTATGGTCTGTAAATAGCTCAGTGGAGCCATTGTTTCCAAAAAAGGAATCCGAGGTTTTACAACAGCCTGAGCAGCAGGAGGTGTGACCCTGCAGCCCTCTCTTGGTGCGTCCTCTCTTGATGAGTCGCACCAACCCCGGACACCACGTGCCTAGTGCTGAGTGCCCAGTGGGACGGCTCACACACAACTCCAGGCCCAGGTGTACTCTGAGGAACCTCACCATGGAGGCACCAGGCCCGAGGCAGGCGTAAGCAGGAGACAGCACACGGCGAAAAGCATTTCTATAGCGTGTTCATGAAGACACACTCCCAGGTCCCGCCCCAGAAGATTCTGATTCAGTCGATGGGGTGGGGGGAGGACCCAGAAAGAATCTCAGTTGGCAGCCAGGTAAGAAAGAGTCCCCTGAACGGGGCCTGGGAAGCGCGAAGGAGATAACCAAGTAACACTTCATTCCAGAACCTCAGAGTTTATTCTTCAGAGAAGTCTCCAGGGGCCAGACAGAAGCCTGGAGTCCGCCTCAGGCTCCTCCAACAACCCTCCCCGCCTTCCTGGGTCCTAGGACTTCCTCTCTCCTCGCAGCTCAAAGCCCTTGGCAGGGCCCAGGCCATCTCAGCGCCCAGCAGCGTCTCGCTCCCGAAGGCCTTGCTGGGCAGGCTGCGCCTCTTTTCATTCCAGAAATGTTAGCCCAGCGCCAGGGCGATTGGCAGGAAGCTGGAACTCGAACCCAGGAATCCCTACGCCCACAGATTCTCACCTCCAGCTCCAACAAAGGTCTCTTTGTGGGGTTTGGGTGTCTCCCGGAGGGCACATTTCCCTCCCCGGGCTGGGAGAGGAGCGAGGGTGGTGTGCGGAATGAAATCTATGCCGCCGACATGCATTTCCTGCTCTCCGGGTTGCCCAATCCCACCGCCCGAGGGGACTGACGGGCAGCGCTTTCCCTGGGCCTGGCAGGGGAGTCCAGGAGGGAGCGGGCCGGACCCACCCCAGCAGGCCCTCTGCCCTCGGAATCCAAGGCCTGACCCACGGCCGCCCGCGTCTGCGTCCTGCCCGTCCTGCCCGTGCAACAGGTCTGGAGGGAACAACGGGCTCTTGTTCAGACACGCTTGTTCGCCGGGAGGTTACTCTGGAAAGACTTCGACATGAATGCAGAGGCCAGCAGCTCACGCTGAGGTCTACGTGCAGCCGGATTTGGGCACGATGCTCCCCTCCGTGGCACGCCATCCCCCGTGGCCCTGACCACCCCCTCTGCTGTGGGCTCACCGCCTTCATGGTGAGGCCTCCGTGGGCATCAGAGGCAGAATCCACACTCACCAGTGTGGGAGGTGAGAGCCGGAGGCTGGGTTCGCACAGCCTCACAGCCCCTCTCCCCTCACACCCCCTCCCCAGTGGGCACAAGGGAGGGAGTGGGCTGTGGCTGAGCAGACGGACAAGAGGTCTCCCCAGGAAGAGGGGTGGCTGCTCACCTCAACTTTGCTTCAGATGTAATGCAGCCCTGGCTGGGTGACGGGGACCACCTCGAAGAGCCTGGTCCCCAAAGAGCCGTCACTGCCCCTGCAGCCTGTGCCCCCTGATGGGAGACACGCACCTGTGGCTCTTCTTACCCTGGAGGAGGAGCCCCCTGCCTTGGGAACCACACATGAACCATCCTCACACCGTACACAGGTTGTGTACCCCATTAGCAGTATCTCCGTAGCATCCCCACTTCCCAGACAGGGAAACTGAGCCCCAAAGGTGCTGACAGAAGCCAGGTGGCCACAGCTCTGAGACCCCCAATTTGGCAGGTACTCCAGAGCCTGCGGATTCCTGGAGAGGCAGCTTTGGGGTTCAGACTCAGAGTGACAAAAGCCACTGAATGGTCTCAAATTTAAAAGCCTGCCTATAACACTGTTTTCCCCCAGAGGTTCCCATCAAACTTTGTCCCTTGTGACACTCAAAACTACCCCACTAAGATAAGAAAATATTCCCACTTTAAAGCAGAGAAACAGACTTGGAACCGTGAAAGAACGGCCATAAACAGCTGACAACTTAATTTTTAACAGCCTTTCAGATGCTCAGGATTGTGTATTTTGCCCAAAAATTTAAGGGATGGGAATGCATGGCCGGGAAAAGGGGGGAGGGGGTGAGTTTTGCAAACCTGAACTGCTCTGAGATGTAATGGCTGGAATTTAAAAGTTACCCCTGGAGTCTAACTACCACACTGTGTGCCTAAAACTAATACAAAATAATATTAACTGTAAACTATTGACTATAAACTGTCATCTTAAAAATTCTCTATTATAATTTTTTTTAAAAGCCTAAGTAAAAATAGGGGGGGGGGGGGGAGTTACCCTTTGAGCGACAGGAAAAAGTTAATAAATCTATGTGTAATCGGAGTTACCCTGGGGGTGTGCAGGGCAACCACTAATAAAACACTCCAGTCCCCACTGCTACGTGTCCAAGTCTGTGGAGAAATAACTGTCCGTTAGCCGCGTGCAGGAGTCCAGAGAGGCGGGCAATTGTCTTTACGTTATTAACAGTAATGGGAACACACTACCAGGAATAATCATTTCTGCATCTCATGCCAACCCGACTTTCATTTCACTGTATGAGCTGCTGGGCATCAAAGCCAACAGATTCACAGAAATGCTCAGGGAAGGAAGGAGGCAGAAGAGAAGAAAGCCCAGCCTTCTGCCCACCACCATCCCCCCTCACCCGGTCCATTAGAAAACATATTTCTAAATAAATAATGAGAAAAACTCAATTTGCAAAATATTCCACCGCGCTAGGAGAGCAGAAATCCCCCCAAAGCATCACCTCAAAAAAATGTTAGGCCTCATCTCCTGATTCATCTACCCCAACTCGGTCCAAATTAAATGAAATGCTGTCACGTCGCTGTGTTTTAAAACAGTGTCCAAGAAGGTAGGAAAGGTTACCCACAGCAAGCAGTGACTGCCATCCTCACCATAGCAACGCGCGGGTTTATAATATGGTCTACCTGCATCAAAGGCTCGCACAAGACACTCGAGGCAAGTCTAGTGCTACCTCCCAGCCTGGAGACGAAGCCGGAAACTCTCGCGCTCATGCCAACGAAGCGCTTCCAATTACATTACATGCCACAATTATTAGCATCGACTATCAATTTTTTTTTTTTTTTGCTTTCTATTCAAGTAGGAATAAAGGGGAAATGAATTAAGACAGTTTCTAGGACACAGTAGACACCCAGCATGCGACTTCCCAAAGTGCTTTGGCTTTTTTTTTTTCTTTAATGGTTAACCCCAGAGGCAGAGACAGGAAGGAGGGGTTGTGAAGGAGAGCACCGTTGAGGTTGCTGAAGCCTCACCTGCGTCAGGTGCATTCAGCCTGGAAAGGTACCCACTGGTTCCTGAGCAGAGCTTGTGCCACTCATGCCAGACAGAGGAATTCCAGAGGAGCCCAGCCCCAGATCCCCCCTGGACCGGGGAGCGAAGAAGAGACGCTGCTGTTCTAGAGGGAGACATGGGTACCCACGTCCAATTGCTTACCGGCAAAAGGATTCTCATTCGCCTTCAAAGTCTACACCAGAAGTATGAAAGAGAGGTCCCGCTCTATGCCTAACAGCTCTATGCCTGTTTCCATGTCAATGTAGCCACCGCACAGCAAGCCTGGGCCTAGATTCAAACCCCCTCAGCCACTCCCGAGTCATGTCTCCTTGGGCAAGTCCCCTAACTGTCTTCGGTTTTCTCATCTGGATAAAACTCCCGTAAGCATTCAGAATGTTCTAGAAACTGATACATAGTGAGAGCTCAACAGACAACATCTATTCTTTCTTTTTCTGCTATTAAGGTTCTTTCTGTAATTATTATGGAATAAACAAAGCATAAGTTCCTACACACAAAAGAACCACAAGAGAACCTCAAAAATGCGATTGTCGCCCTGGCTGGTTTGGCTCTGTGGTTAGGGTGGACTGAAGGGTCTCGGGTTCAATTCCCAGTCAAGAGCACATACTGGTACCTTGGTTGCAGGTTCCCCAGCCCCGGTAGGGGCTCGTGTGGGAGGCAACCAATTGATGTGTCTCTCTCACGTGGATGTTCTCGTGTTTCTCTCTCTCTCTCTCTCTCTCTCTCTCTCTCTCTCTCTCTCTCTCTCTCTCCCCCTCCCCTTCCCTTCTACTCTCTCTAGAAGTCAATGGAAAAAAAATATCTTAGGGTAAGGATTAAAACATCATCATAATAAAATGTGATTGTTCCCTTCCTTACCATGCACTCTATGGAATAATGCCATCCCCATATCACAGTTAGAAAAACTGAGGCCAGACACATTGGCACCGATGGTAATGCTAAGGCTCAAGCCTAGTAGACCAGAAGGAAGAGCGATAGAAGGGTGAGTGACCTATAGGAAGTATTAATGGAGAGGCAGATAGGCTGACCCTCATCATTGTGAGTCAGTCAAATGGAAGAAAGACAAAAGCATTCCTTGGGCCAAGGTGAGTGGTACATAAGGCAGAGGGATTCAGTCTGATCATGTGATTCTGCCAAGTGTTTTCTTTCCCAATAGATGTACATCCCTACAGGGCAGGGCCCATATCTAGGCATCCCCAGAGCAATGAACACGCTGCACACCCTAAATAAATATTTGTTTCTGTTGAATGCATTTAGGGGGGCGGGGGGAAGCTTCAGCACCCTGCTATCTCCCCTAGAATGATAAAGTATTGTTATTGTTTTAAAAACACACACACAAGATACAGTGTTATTTCATTTCATTATTGCAACAATCCTTTGAAGAAGATATTTGTATTAAACCTATCTTACAGACAGGAAAACTGAGGTGTAGGGCAATACTTGCTCAACGTCACACAAAATCACAAAAATAACTAAGCCATCGGGTAGATCTATCTGACTCTAGAGTTAAGATTGTACGCACTCCCTTATTCTCAATATTTCTCTCAGAATATCATGCGCATCTAAAACAGTCCCTGCATAAACGTTCAGTAAATATTTCCTAAATGGGAACACAAAAGAAATGGGCAACTCGGGCTGTTGCTTCCCGTGCTCACAAAACCTCAGCTCAGCCATAGCTGAGAAAGCTTCACCTTCGCCTCACAAACTATGTGAGCAATTCCTCCCTGCAGACATTTTGGGGGGAAAAGAATTCAGTGCATGTCTTCAACCACCAATTTCTGCGAGAGAAAGCCCAGGAGCAAAATCAGTGACATAAAACTGGCTGGATCTGCTCTGGTCCAGGTATTAAGCAAGGCTGAACTAGAAATTTCCACATCAGGGATCCAGCATCCCCACAGACCAGGGAGCAGGAGGTCAGTGCAGACCTAGGAGGAGGGGTTCCTGAACACGGCACCTTCTCAAAATCTTCCCGGGGAGGAGTGGAGGCCTCCAGAAAGGGAGGTGCGGGGGAAATGCTCTAATACACCCTCTTAACCACAGCCCGAGCCTCGCTCCACCAGAGAGAAACGCCAAGCGCAACCACAGCGACTTCTAAGTGTGCAGGCCGATTATAGCTTTACTTTCAAAAGAGCTTTGATTGATCTTTTTTGATAGACCTGAAATAAATTAAACTAGATTGACTCACTTGAGAATGGACTCTAATCCCTTAGTCAGATCCCGGAGAACTCAAACCAAACCAGCTGTTAATTTAGGCTTTATAAGATAAAGCATGAGAAATCCAAGTTGATGTACCCCAGAGCAAAGCTTGCATCATCTCTGTAAGCAATCAACTTACTGCCTTCTTTCAGGAACTAATCAGGTCTTGGGTAAGTGTGTGCCAAGCCTGCTGCTCTCTCAAAGTGAAACTCACTCAAAGAGAAGAGGAAAGGCGAGAGGGGAAGAGAGGACCCCAGAAACACTGGCTGACTCACTCCCCAAGCAAGTCAGAACCTGCCCAAGACATTTCCATGCTGCTTTCGGTGAGTCATCCGTCCCCTGCCCCGTAAACTGTGGCCGCCTGACCAGAGCCAACCCACCAAGTGAGAGGATGCCGTGGATGCTCCTTTTGTTCTTTTTAAAAATGCGAGTTGGGGGGGCAGGATTACCCAGAAAATATTCCCCCCACTATTTTTTTATTCCCCCATCTGTGAAGATCACACTGCCCCCTTCCCTTTATCTTTGTTTCTGGGTGCCTTTGATTTGAATATAGAAATCCCAATACTTTCAAGTGGCAGCTGCTATGGCACTAACAGAGTTAACACACACACACACACACACACACACACACACACACACACACATGCACATACACACAACTGCAGGCTCCCTCCTCAGCTAAGCTCTGCTCACTACCAGGCAGCCCTCCCGACTTCCACCAGCATTTTGGGTGAAGGGGAGCTTCCGCGTCTAGGGGACCCCACCCAGAGCCTCACCCCAGGAGGTCCCAACATGGTGCCTATCCCCCCTGCAAAAGCAAGGCTGCCAGCCTCGTGCTCCCAAACAATGATGTTCCATCGAACACTCTGTTTACCGAACATAAGGGGATCAAGAACCGAAATCCAATTTAAGGAATTATGGTGCCTTCAGACTGTTTTTCCTCAACGATGAAAAAAGACAGGCGTGTTGTTTCTGGAATTAGGCCAGAAGAAACTGATCCTTGTAGTAATACAAGAAAAAGGAAAGAAATCAATGTGTGTGTTTACATATGTGTTGGGGGGAGGGGATTGCTAAAATGAGTTAAAACGTGAGTAGCAAATGAATTTGTGATATTTCATGGAAGAATCCTGAAGTTTATCTCAAAGCCCTATTTGGATCTATCTCTATCAGACAAGTAGAATACAGTTCATCTCTCATAGCTGCTGAGAAGCAAAGGAAATTTAACCAGAAACGACACAATGAAGTCCATCAAAGTCTATCCACTTGCCTTTACTCGCAGCAAAACGAGCCAGGGACCCCAGGCCCAGTCAGAACCTGCTAGGAGCACTTCCCCTTTAAACAATAGGAACCACTGCCGCTCAGTGCTGGCCTCTGTGTTGGGCCTGTATGTGTCTTACCCCAGTGAATCCTCTGAGATCGGTTTATCCCCATTTCACAGATAAAACTGAGACGCAGGGAGGTTCAGAAACTGGCCAAGGTCCCCCATGCAATGAATGGATGTGACGTGAGGCCCATGTGTGTCTCATGGATGTGAGGGCCAGAGCTCTCGTCCATCAGCCTCAAACGCTTCCCTTTTCATAGCAAAAACTTCAGGTCCAAATAAAACGGCACTCTGATGGCTCAGGATTGGTCTCACCATGGCTTACATCCTGTGGCAGCATTTCACAGCTGAGCAAGCTGAGTCCCAGGGCAGAGAGCTCTCCACACCCTGAGCATTTGGTGGCAGGCCCAGCAGTGTTCCGAGCTGCCAGCCTGCAACTGCTATTATGGAGCTTCATCCTCTCCCGTAATTAATTCTTCCCCACGGCCAGACCCAATGACCAAGTCCTCCCTGAGAAAAATGTCTCTCACCAAGGGCCACATGGGGAAAT